ATACAATAGTATGTGTTCGTACTCTATGCTCATAAACATACATACAAAACAAAAGTTGAACACCAATGCACGTGGCTCGTAAAAAATGTCGTCCAATTAAAATGACTTTTGGTGCCTTAAAAACATTGACTTTACGCAACACTCAAAGCTTTAATTGGACTTTTTTTTTACATACTATATCTGATAGAAAGTAATATTACCCTACTATATACATACATACATGGTGTGAATATGTCCGATGCATGCATTTTTTGTGTGCGCCATGCCATATGTGGTGTAAGCAATTTTTTAAATTTATATGCGTTTTTTTTTTGTTTTTTTTTTTTTGCCTTCCTGATGGTATGAAGCACACTCGATATGCGTTGAATATTAAGTATAATGTTTTTGACTCATCGAAAAGCAATCAAAATTGCCATTTCTGCTTCATCCTATCTTTATGTAGTACTACCGATATATTAAAAATTCATAACGAAGTCATTATTGGAAAGTTCCTTAAAATTTGCTGGTGCAAGGTAATGATGATTCCGAATTGCTTTTCCTTTATATATTCGATTTATAGCTTTGCATTCCACCAATGCAAGCATTTCCTTGGTAAAAATGTTTTTTTTTTATCGAAACAAGCAAAAAAAATTAGATGTCGGTGCTCAAGACTTCGTTCACTTACTCGATCCTTCGAGCAGATCGCGCACATGCTGCAGTTAAAAAAAATAACAATCCAAGCTGAAGCAGTGTATAGAGAATTCTCTTTGTGTTATATCACATATATTTAGCATAAAAACGTCTTTATCAAAAGCTTCAAATCTTCATACAATTGGTTGAGCAATTTTTTTTTGTTGTGACTTTTTGAATATTTCAAGCACATTAGCCGTAGCTCAAAGTGAAGCGTTCAAGGGAAGGGTCTCTATTTTGGGGACTTTAAGTGTTTGTCTTGAATGAATTAAATTCTCAAATGTTCAACATCTCTATTAGTGACTACATATTTAGAATCATGTCACATTCATATGTATATATGTAATATATGTATATATGTAAGTGCATAAATTTAGTGCTGTTTTATATTTGGACACGAAGGACACATTTATATTTCGCTACTAATTGTAGCATAATTATAGTATTATGTAATGTGCGTGTATACAAATACAATCAATTAAATTTCCTACTTTTGAGTAATAATTATAATCCCAACTAATACAAGCTCATTCAGTTAATTACTGTTATTTATAAATGCAATTAGGAGGTAAATAGCCAGCAGGTAAAATATTGTATTGAAAAATTAAAGCGATTTATTGCATGCAAAATTGCAACACAGCAAGCTTATTTCAACTTACCCAATGCATAAATATTTATTAGAATTCAAAAAAAAAAAAAAAAAAAAAAACAATGTGCCTTATGCTGTACGAATGAAGTTCTTGTAAGGACATTCTGCAATTTTGATTAACCGCAAATTTCTAGCAACGATTTCATGCATATATCGTTTACATATGAATGTATATATATATATATACATTCATACGTAAACGAAATATGTATAATGGCTTTTATTATTTATTTGGAACTTAGCTTTTGGAATTTCGTAATTCTGTTGTAAAAACTGCAAGAACTATTTGATTGGGAATATTTAATATGAGGAGGTCAAATATCTCCCGCTTTTGCTCTTCATTCAATGCTTTATAAAAAGTGTTACAGTGATCGGATTTAGTTAAAATATGCGCCCTTATGTTCGATGATCTGTTTCCTTCTAGACGGCAACTTCATAATACCTTCCTCGTGGAAGCCCCCCTCCTTTTTTGCGAAGAGCTCGGACAGCCACTTTTCACAAGCCTCTTTTGAGTTCAACTTCACTCCACCAAGGGCATTCGCCATGGACAGGAACAGGTGGTAATCACTTGGCGCTATGTCCGCGATAAAACCTCCCATCCGAGCTCCCGTAGCTTCTGACGAGTCATCAACGAAGTGTGTGGTCTGGCGTTGTCCTGGTGGAACCCTACACCCTTCCTGTTGGCCAATTCTGGACGCTTCTGGTCGAACTAAGCGTCTGGCCATATGGGATCAGCTCATAGTGGATGATTCCCTTCCAATCCCACCAAACATACAGCAAAACTTTCCTGGCCGTCAATCCCGGCTTGGCCACTGTTTGGGACGGTTCACCGGCCTTCGACCACAACCGCTTTCGCTTGATATTGTCGTATGTGATCCATTTTTCGTCGCCAGCCAGATATATTTGACAACAAATATATTAAGAATAAATTAAGAATTAAAGATAAATGAAATTTCATTAAATTCTTTCAGTGTATAATTTTGTGCAAAGTATTTCGCTTAAATTTTACGGTTTGTATCTTGGCCGCATGGAGAGAGATAAATGTAAGGAACATGTTGATATATTTATGTAGCTAGGAACCAAAAATAGCTTCCATTATTATTGGCATAGACGTCGCTTACGCGATTATAGCTGAGTTGACAACAGCGAACCATCATCATTTAGAAAATTACCAGTCATGATGACATGTTGTGGAGACCTTGCTTTACCTCTGCTTCCACCGAACGGTACATCGAAAACTATCAATGCTGGATTATTCTTATCTATCCGGACTACATGACGTAGTAATTGCAACAGCTGTTTCATAATTCGCTGAACTATGTTAGTGTCGCCGTATAACTTATACTGCACTCCATACCACACAGATCTCAACCCTATTTTGGAAAACGTCAATATGCTCTGCATTTCAAGGCTAACATTGCTGTTGGTATTATAGCTGGTTCCATGTTAGACGAAGGTTTTGACAACTTCAAAGCTATGATTGTCAATAGTGATGTGATAATCGAGTCACGTATGCGATGACTGCTTGTCTGATTACAAGAGATATTTCGCCTCCGCCTCGTTAACTGCCTTTCGCTACGCTTCCTCATCGAGTCTGAAGAAAGCAGAACTCCCAATGTCATTGGCATATGTCAGCACTGAGCTTTGCAGCTCTTATTATTTTCTCAACCAATAAATTAAAAAAGTCACACGTTAAGGAGTCACCTTGACTGAAATTTCGTTTCGTATCGCACGCACCGGAGAGGTTGCTAAAGGTCAGTTTACGGAGCCGTATGAGTTTTGCGGTGATACCGAATTCAGACATAGCGGCCTAAGAGCAGCTCGTATCGTATCCTATTCGTGCTCTCCAAGGCGGCTTTAAAATCGCCGAAAGGGGAGGCTGTCCATCGTCATTTCAGAGGTTGATTTACTAGGTCCAAAGCTACACTGATAAGGTCCAATCATTTTGTTGACGGTGAGCTTCAGTCCTTTACACAATACGTTCGGTAGGGTCTCATAGGCGATATTAAGGAGGCTTATCCCAGGATGATTGGCGTAGACTGTGGAATTGTGCTTCCAATCGTCAGGTATGGTTTTGCCAACAAGTTAATGCTTTCGAAACTCAATTTGAACAGTTTGACCGCCAAGCTATTGGTTTGCAGTTTTTCAGAAAAGAGTGTAATATTTGAACTTTTACATAGTCGGACATTAAATATCTGTTACATCCGCATGGATTGGGCAGTCGAGTATGAAATCTTTTAGGGTTAACTTTTAGCTAACTGGGACAGTAATTTTTCAATTAATATAGTACACTTTGGGCATCAACAACTAAATCGCCTATTTGTGTGCTACAAGAGCCTGCTCCGATCTTCAAACCTTCTGTAAATCGCCATGCCTTTTTGCAGAATTTTCATGTCAGAATCTTTTTGGCCAAATTTTCAAGCCTCCCATTCTCATACATCGCGGACCCTTTTTTAGCCTTCAACATCATCTGGCTATCATCTCCAACTCCCGATCGTAAAGGTGCGAGGTAGTCAGTGTTGTTTCTCTCCCTTGCGACATAAAAATCATCATTGTACCAGCTGTGTTTTTAGTGCTTTCCGAGGAAGAAGTGCTTTCCGAGAGAAACCCATTTGACTGTCTGTTTGTGATAGCGGCTTTTCAAGTTCGAACCTTCACTGTGTGTATTGATGGGGTTTTTTTTGGTTGCACAGAGACTAACATATAGCGCTACAGCTACAGGTTAGTGGTTCGAATTGTGTTTGAGCACTCGGAGTGTACGCACGTCGAGCACACTGTAGACAAGTCGTCCGTCTAGCACAACATGTTTGATACGGCTGTGAGTTTTCCTATCTGGAGATGAAGAATTTTCAGGTGCTGAAATCTTGTAGTACTGCAGACAACCACATGTTGTCAGCCCCAGTGAAGTTGGTCAGCCTCAACCCATTTGTGGAGACTGAATTTCCCAACAGTTGAACCGAAGGCACCTTCTTTGTCTACACTCGTACTGAGTACTCTAAAGAAATATATCAGACCGTGTCAAATCAAAATAAGAAAATAAAATTTTAGTATTGTTCCTTCGCAAAAAAAGAAATTAAAAAGTTCAAGTAATAAAAATATGCCAAAAGGTTGATGGATGCAAAACTGTGGATGTTCAGCGGTTAAATGCCTTAAGAAAATGTTTAATAAATCATTCGGTGTATAATTTTGATGTCATTAATTAATTTTTGTTTTTGAAAATATGCAGATTTGACATTACACATATACATACTTCTTGGTTATGCATACACGTATATATCCTTCCCAAGTAAATATCTGTGCTCATGTTATATAGCAACACCCTCGTTACTGGTTTACTGCTTGTTGCAAACAACCGCGACAAAGTGTTATTTGCGGCAAGGCGTGCGCGTGACGGCGCTCTGCGTTAAGAAATTTGATGGATGTTTGTAATTGCCAACTTCGCTAATATATAGGTAAAGGACCACAAAGTTATTGACGCTGGCATCAAATCAAAAACACATGCATATACAGTCATGCATACATACACACACATACATGTGAGAGCTCATGCAATGAGCTGTGCTTAGCTCTTAAATACACTCAATTGACTTTCTCATACTTATAAATATATATGTTTAAAATGTACACATCTACATATGTATATACGCATACCTTCTGATTTCTCATTTCTGCTTGCTTCCAGCACCCCTCCATGCCGAAGTTGTCGATTTGACACCACATTATAACGCTTCACCTGCCCTGTCAATCATCAGCAGCAGCAGCATCAGCAGTAGCAGTGTCACAGCAGTTGGTATGTACGCAGCGGCGACAGTGCCCGCCTTTGTGGACCCTTACTTGGATGGTTATGCCACAGCAAATGTAACCGCGCAGATTGGCACGCACGCATATTTACCATGTCGGGTAAGTGCACAGGATGAGGGGTTGTGTGCTGCAAACGGGGAGAAATGCAAAAAATAAAGAAAAGGGTTTTTTTTTGGTTACGCATACGCCCGGGTGGCAGCAACTATGCATTTTAAAGCGTCTCTTTGCGGGCATTACGCAAATTCTTTACTTCAACGCATTTCTTTGGGTTTGTTGTTTTTTTTTTTTTGGTAATTTTTGTGTTTACATATTGTATATACAATTTTTTTTAGATGCCTTTACATACATTTATCCCCTCACTGAATCGCGTGCCACGTGCCACGTATCAAACGTAACTCTTGTTTTCCTGCCATTGAAACAAAAAAAGGAAAGAAAAAAATTAACAAAAAATTGCTGCAACATTTTTTCCATGCTTAGTTGACCGTTGATTTATTTCCAATAGTAAAAGGTGAAAACAGTTGCACGTGCATATATATATATATGTATTTGTATAGTTATAAATGCGCCAGTCAAGGTATGCTTACAAATATTTCTATATATACATATGTATATGAATATGTGTGTGTCCATTATGTAGAACAACAATTGCTTCAAATGTGGGAATGATTTAAGTGCGTGCAAGCCAAATTCATTTCGATTCACTATAACGTCGCTCTTTAGGTGTCTGACAGCAGACAAAATGCTTTATGTCTGCCATTTCCGGCTCAGCAAAGCTTTATGATTGACAGCGTAAAAATGAAACTATATATATATAAATCTTTTTTATTGCACATCAATAACAATGTACAAGCATTTAATATATATATTTTAACATATATAAATATATATGTTTGTATAGAGCAACTACCAACTAATATTACTGGCAAAACAATATTCGAATTTTTTTAGAAAGGAAGCATGAAATTGTCAAAATAACTCATACATACTAGAACTGGAACGAGCATGCAAAAATGTAAAAAATTAATATCCGGCACAATTTTCTGCAATGTTTAGAACGTCACTGCAGTTTTTTTCAGATCAGCGGCTTGTGAAATTTGTTCTCAATAAAGGAACTAAAAATATATAAAAATCAGCCAAAAGGGTAGGCGCAAACAGGTGTTACTTAATATAAAGAAATATTTCATATATGTCTTGATATTCTTAAATAAATTCTTCAAATTATTTATAATGCAAACAGCGGAGGTGGATCGAAAAATATAACAACAACCTTCAATGTTGTTCCGAACTAAACTAGTTTCCGTATGACTCATTTGAAGTCATTTCTCCGAATTTACTCTCTCAAACTCCACATTACGCTCAGATAAAATTCTTTATTTGCCTTCAGAGCATTTGGTGAGAAGAGAAAGAATAATTTTCCGGACAGCATGTTTCTTTCTCTCAGTGTACAGTAAATTGGCTGTTGTGTATTTTTTGGCTGATGAGGGTAGCTGAGCTCCTGTTGACTTTATATTGCAAGACCATCGTAAGCAGTCACCTTTTCGTGACATTCGCTCTCAATCATCTTAGTTTTTATCTAGCCAAAAGGTTGAAAAAACAGCATAGTAATGAAAGTGCTTACACTCAGTATCTGCTGATTTTTGGTTTCAATACTTTTTTCAATTTATGTAAGGAAAATACTTGATTTTCTTTAAAATGCTATTGGGTTTCAATTTTATTTTTTTTATTTTTAGTTTTCAACAAAAACTTTCATGTCTGAATAAATGGGTTAAGTGGGAGCCACGTATAGGACATGATCTTCCCATTTCGATGATTTTAGGCTTCCACAATCAACCCACACAGGGTTTTCATTTTTTTTACAGACTTATCCATTTTGTGGTTTCGAAAATGAACGTAATAAGATGCAAAGAAAACAACATTTTTTCATGAAACTCATGATTTATTTTAAGGTTTGAAATATTTTTCGATCAATTTGTGGCGCACATTCGGCGGCATTTCAGCAATAACTTGCCGAGTACTGGTTTTCAAGTGCGCAAAAAGCAAAGTTTTGTACGCATATTCACGATCTTTCGCATAGCTCAATAAAATAAAGTTCAAAGGTGTCAAATCGCACGATTTCGGTGGCCAAATGAAAATGCCGCGTGGAAAGCGATCTCGCAATAAAGCCATATTCGTTCGTGTATTTGTCAGGTGGCAGCCTTGTTGTTGAAACCCCACATTGGGAGGATCGTGTTCTTCAATCGAAAGCGATCGGTTATCAAACAAATATAAATTTTCGAAATAACAGTGAACGTTTCGCTGTTGTCGTTTTGAAAGAAGTAAGATCCGATCACACCTCCAGCCAGTTTTTACTCAATTCTTTGAGCATTCTCCCAACACTCAATGTGGCGATTATTTTTTTACGTGAAGTGACCTAATAGAAACACGTAAATATTTTTAATTTCTTTGCTTTTGCGCCAAATTTGCTAATTATGTTGACCGGGGAAACTCTGCCGAGGAAAAAATTCTAATTGTTAATTAGAATCCCACTAACTACTTTTTCTATTGTATATTTTTCATGTAAACAACATGATGCAGCGTAATCATCAGTTTCATACTAGTTGTATACCAGTTCAATTGGGCATGTTAAAATAAAAAAAGGAGTTTCTACTTGCCGCGAGACTCGAATTGTTAACCTCAAACGTTGCAATGGTAACCTCTAACAGGGCTATCGTATTGTATTTGGCCTATGCAGTGGGCGATATAATGATAGTATGAGAGAAGCCTATATAGTGGACAGTTCAAAATTTATTAAAAAAAAGTAAATTTTCTTAAAAAATAGCAGTTGTGACTTCAGTTGAGTTGAGTAAATGTGACTGCTGGTCACTACCAGCGCACTTTGGCCTATAGGCAGATTGTGATATCCCTATGAGGCTGCTGTGCTCACCTTCTCAAATGATTTTACCATTTCCTGCGCCTCACAAAGGCAACTAGATTTACAATTTCCGCTGAGGCTATCTCAGCAAGACGGTCGAAAAATTGTTTTCCATGGAATTTATGTCGCGCATATGTCAGGTCTGGGCAGTGACAGAGGTAATATTCTTTAGACTCCTCCTCTACTTCGTCCCTATAGCTGCGACAAAACTCACTAGAGTTATAACCTATTATTTTCCCGTGAAACCCCTTTCAATGGAGGCCCGCTGTTATGCCTGTTGTCACGTTAATGACGAACCGTTCCAGAAGGATAAAATGTTTAGATATTTTCGCGTCCAGCTTCGGCCATAGCAGTCTGCTCACATTAACCGTGATTTCATTTTTAGATGTTATTTTGCTGCTACTCAAATTTAAATGAATTATCCAAAAAGTAAGAGAAATGATTTTAGTAACGAAGAAACGATGAAGAAGATGAAACAGAAATTTTTTTTGTATCTAACCAAGTTTCCACCAACCAAAAGGAGATGAAAGCAAAGGAAAGTATGTTAATGTAAAGGGGGGGGGGGGGCAACAAAATCAGCAGTTGATAAGGATAAAACGCTACTGCTTTGTCAAGAGTAGACAAGTCAAACAAATTTAATTACGCAAAAGTGGCCTTCACGGTAACTGTTACGATGCGGCCAAAGCGAATGTCAATGAGTATGGAAGTAAGCGTTGGCATTTATGTGGTCTAGCAGCATGGAAAATTAATAAGGCAACACAATTAAGCGCTCGGATTACCTGGCGATGAGTTTCATAATTACAAAAAAAAAAAAAAAAAAAAAAAAAAAACTGAAAATATAAAAAACAATTATTACTGCCAGTTATTAATGGTAGGCACTTATCATAAGCGCTTATATTTGTTTTCTAGTATATACGTATACATTTGGTTGTGCATATATAAAGCGTAAAATGTGTACGTATCAGTGAATTTTAAGTACATAAATGAATATTTGTGGTGTTCCAAATAAATATATGAATATACATAAATTGTCTAAGCGGCTGGGGGAGACTGTGAAGTATCTTTAGGTTGAGCACTAGGCCAGTTACAAAGAGTAGTGGACTTTAACCAATGCTATAGAAGGCACATGACGCTACGCAGACACTAATCGCTTACTCTAAAAGCATGGATGGGAAGACACAAACAGATCAGATAACAAAATATGTGATTTCAACCTTACGAAGATCAATTCCATTGCAAACAATGAACACTTGCATACAGGCATGAGCAAAATAAATTTAGTCAGCGCCCAAACTTATGCAAGGATTCACACTCCTCGCGTAAACATAAATAAATAAATATAAAAAAAATAAAATAAATAAATATAAAATAACAAACTTTTGCATGTTTTCTGAAATTCAGTTAATTAAAAGTGTTGCTTTAGAAAGAAATTTATATACATTGATTTATATATAAAAATATCAAAGCGTTGAAGTTCAAAGCTTTTGCTTCTTTTGAAAATGCTCTTCACCCACACCTCCACACAAATCCAGATAAAATGAATTAATATCTTGATATTTGATATTTAACTACAAATGGAACAAATGTGTTTCTTCTTTAAGATCTTACTGCCCCAAAGTGAGTCGTACTGTTTCGAAATCCTCGCCTAACGAAAGACCTTCCTTTTCGCCACCACAAAAGTCTTTCTCACTTTAAACAAAACATTAACGCATAAAGACTATCACAGCTAAAGTATCAAATTGTCATTCATTTCGGCATACTTTGTGCGTATTTATGTATATTTCTACGCTTCTTTATGTATATTTCACTATATTCACAGCTTGAGAGCAGAGCATTGATGTCATTCGTATTCAGAAACTAATTTACATTTAACACGAAAACGGTTGCCCTGTGCCCAAGTCTCTGTCGTTAACCTCCAAAATGGTAAATTTTCGCTGAATTGTTAAGCACAATATATATTTATTATATATTATATATGTATGTGCTTATATATATATATATATATATATATATATATATATATATATATATATATATATATATATGTGTGTGTGTGTGTGGTGTATATTCTGTGGCTCAGCAAAGTCGACTTAATTAATGAAATTTGTAGCAGCTAACGGCTGCTACCTACAGTTGCTAACAATATTCCATGCCATGCCACACCATGCCATGCCACACCATGCCACAC